TTAAGAGCTTTAGTTTGCTTGGCTCCACAATTGACACTCTTGGTACTAGCAGACAGAAAATCAAAAGACTAATTACACTGGGAAAGTCTGCTATCAAAGACCTCTCCAGAGTACTGAAGAGCAATGATGTCAGTCTGAAGACTAAGGTGCACCTGATCCAGGCCATGGTCTTCGCAATTACTTGCTATACATAAGAAAGCTGGACAATGACTAGGGATGACAGAAGGAAAATTGATGTCTCTGAGCTATGGTGCTGGAGAAGAGTGTTGAATATATCATGGACTGCTAAGAGAACAAACAAGTTTGTCCAAGAGAGGGTTAAACCAGGCTGCTCCTTGGAGGCAAGGATTCTAAAGCTCTGTCTGACATACTTTGAACATGTTGCAAGGAGGGACCAGTTCTTGGAGAGGAACATGCTTGGGAGGGTGGAGGAATAGCGCAGGAGGGAAAGAACCTTGATGAGATGGATTGACTCAGTGACTGAGGTAATGGAGGTAGGTGTGTCAGAGACAATGAAGTTGGCTCAGGATAGAGCCGGGTTCAGACACAGGTCACTGTGACTTGCAAGCAACTCGAAGGCACATAACAACAATATATTAAATAGAATTCATTTTCTTTTAAACATTGTGCAAAAAATTAATAAAATAGTAAACACTAAATAAATATAAATTTAAATTAGATATTAAGTTACATTCAGGAGCTCTGGTGGCCTAGAGGTAAGAATCTGGGCTGCACTCCCAATGCCGTGCAGTTCAGATCCACCAGCTGCTCCACAAGAGAAAGGTGGGTAATCTCCTGTGCAATTAACTGCCTCTGAAAACCTGCTGGAGAGTAAGCTCCGGGTCACTTCTGACTCAATGGTATTATTATTGTATGGTAATGTTATTATGTTGAAATAGAAAGATAATATAAGTTGCATTTATTAAATATTTTAATATTAGGGAGCTCTGGTGGTCTAATGGCAAGAAGCTTCACTGCAATCCCAGAAGTGCCCAGTTCGAATCCACCAGATGCTCTGCTGGAAAAGGAGGGGCAATCTCCTCCTGTACCAGTCAGATCTGATTTGACGGTACACACACACAAAATAATAGAACGAAATAAAATTTTTTAAAAATTTAAAAAATTCACAGGAATCCAGAATTAAGGTTGCATAGAGAAGTGTACTCGGGGTGGGGGGTGGGGAGAAGGGACGTGGGAATTGTATACTAATGAAGGCATTTTTTTTCACAAAAAAAAATTAAAAAATTATTTTAATATTAAACTTAGCTCAACTCATTGTTGTAGCGTCTGAACTGGATCGTAGCTGACCCTCTGCGTGTTTCCTGAGGCTGTGAATTGCTTGGAAAGTAACTGCCCCTTTTCCCCCACAGAGCCAGCAGTGATTCAAACCAGCAGAGCTGTGACCTTCATGTGAGCATCACAGCTCCCTGCTGGTTTATCACGAGCACTCCCTAAACCAAACAAATGAGAAGATTATTTCTTTATTATAAAATTTATTTTGGACTTGAGTTTCCAGGAGCTGCCACATCAATTGTGACTCATCGTTACCCAACGTTCAACATATTAAAACCCTGCCAGGTCCTGCCTTGTCCTCACAGCCTCCACTGTAGTGACGAACAGTCCAGCGCAGGGCTTCTTCTCCTTCACTGACGCTTCACTGTTCCAGGTTCTGGTCTCTTTAGAGAGCATGCCCCAAATATGTAAGATGAAGTTACACTCTCGTCTCTAAAGAACACCCTGACTGCACTTCTACTCACCGTGTTTGTTAGTTCTTTTGGCACTCCGTGATGTACTACTCAATATTCTTCAACCCCACTCCATTTCAAAGGTACCAACTCTTCTCCAGTCTTCTTTATTCATTGTCCAAATTTCCCATCCATATGAAGCAATAGAAAATACTATGGCTTGAGTCAAGCACACCTTAAAGTGACTTTCTTACTCTTTAATACTTCAAAGAAGTTCTTGACAGTAGATTTTCCCATTGCAACACATCTTTTGATTTTTCAACTGTTACTTCTATGGATGTAGATGATGGATTCAAGTAAAATTATATCAGTGACACCCCCTCGGACTTCCCACTCCCACCTGGACCACATAGGCTAAGTCCCTGGGCTCGGAGCCTCATAACAGAGGAGCACTGACTCTTCCTCTGCCCCCGTTTCTTCTGCCTTACCAGAGAAATCCCCCCACTGTTCCAGTAATTCCTTGTTCTGCATACTGCTGTGTGTACGTTGTATGGGGTTTGCTCAAGCCCATTTTTGAAATGTGGTCCCGGCAAGGTGAAACAAAATTCTTCAATTGCAGTACAGAAAAAAGCATATGCCCATCATCAGCCAGGTGTCAGTCGGAAAGACACCTGCTGGCCATGAGAAAAGATGCTTGATATCAAAGTCTGTCTGTCTGTGCGAGTCTAGCATTGGTACCAATGCCTTCGAGGAGTGCTGTTCTTGACAAGCCCAGACCTCGGCTCACCAGTTTGTCACAGTGAACAAAGTTTTCGCTACCTCTAACCCTAACTTTTTCTCTAACTCCAGACTGAATTTGAACCCAAACCCTTATCCCGAAACATCTAAAACTGAACCTATCCTGGTTTCAAACCCTAAATCCAAACCTGGAAGCAGAACCGGAATCTGAACCCTAACCCCATCCCAGATCCAAACCGAAAACTTTACACCAACACTAAACCCTAGGCCATGATCCTAAACCTGAATCAGAACTCAAATATGAAACCTGATAAACCGTTAATTACTTGTAGTCTACCCTCGCTGGTGAGTATTGTTCAGGCTTAAAAAGAAATGAAGAGGGGCTCTGGTGGCCAAGTGGTAAGGAGTTGCTCTGTCAACTCGAAGACATGCGGTTCAAATCCACCAGCCACTGCCATGTGATTTGTTGTTGTTGTTGTTATGTGCCATTGAGTCACCTGCAATTCATAGTGACTCTATATACAACAGATCTGAACTCTGCCCTGTCCTGAACCAATCTCATTTCTCCAGTCACTGAGTCAATCCGTCTGGGTCTTCCGCTCATGTATTGTCACTCCACCCTTCCAAGTATGATGTTCTTTTCCAAGGACCGGTCTCTCCTGGCCATGTGCCCAAAGTATGTGAGACAGACCTTCAGAATCCTTGGCTCCAGGGAGCAGCCTGGTTTCACCCTCTCCAGGATGAAGCTGTTTGTTTTCCTGACAGTCCACATTATGTTCAACCCTCTTCTCCATCACTACAACTCAAAGGCATCTTCTTCTATCATCCTTACTTATTTGTCCCATTCTTTGAGGCATAGCAAGTAATTGCAAAGACTATGGCCTGAATCAGGTGCACCTTAGTCTCCAGATGACAGCATTGCTCTTCAGTACTCTAGAGAGGTCCCTGACAGCAGACTTTCCCAATGCAATTTAGTCTTTTGCTTCAGCAAATGGCTCATGTCCTCCTCAAGCAAGTTTCAGTAAGCAAGGTTGTGTCATCTACATAACCTACATAACGCAGGTTGTTGATGAGTCTTCCCCCATCCTGATGCCACATTCCTCCTCATAAAGTCCAACCTCTCGAATGATCTGCTCTGCATACAGATTGAAACACCTATGACACACTCCTTCGCTGATCCTGAACCATGCAGTGTTTCCCTGCTCTGTTCTGCTTCCTGGTCCAAGTATAGGTTTCGCATGTGATTTACAACAAAACCCACTGGAGGGTCAGCTATGAGATGGTTTCTACCTGACAGTACATATCAACAAAGAACATTGAATTTTGCATACAATCTACATTCATACAGTGACTGTAACAACAGGTTCAATTATATCAGAGATGATGAGGATGGCTCAAGACAGGGCTGGGTTCAGACCCATTGTTCAGAGGGTCACTAAGACTCACATCCAACTGGACAGCATCTAACAACAATATCCATGCTACATGGGTGAACCTAGAAAACATTAACCAAAGTGAAAGAAGTGACACAAACAACCACATACTGTATAATTCCATTTTTATAAAATGTCCAGAATATACACAGAGAGAGGAGTTTGGGGGAACTGAGGGGGAAATGAGGCATTCAGGACTCCTTTTTGATGAATAAAATGTTTGGAGGTACACAGAGGTGGGGGTCACACAACATTGTGAGTGTACAAAACGCTGCTGAATTAAACAGGGCAAAGGTTGATTATGATGTTATTTTTTTGGTTTTGAAAACACAAGGCTAACAAATAGAGCCTGATCCCAACACACCCTCTGCAGTCTCACCATCTGCTCTGCCACCAGGTGTCATGCCTAGACACCCCCCCCCTCCCCGTCAGGGGACTCGAGCTGGCAGGGTCCTTCCAGCCCTGCTCTATGGTAACCCCATCCCTGCACACACTCCCAGGGGTCTCCTGCCTCAGTCAGGACAAGCTAGTGCTTTTTAATGTCACCTGTTTGGATGAGCCTCACAAATGCACTATAAGCTGCCATCTCCCCTTAACAGTAGGATATGAGTTTCCGGATACAGGAGGCAGCCTCCACACACAGCCCCCAAATGGGGGTCTGGCAGCCTGGCTGTAGGGGGCTGGGGGGAGCAGGTTTGTGGTCACAAAAGATGTGTTCCCGCTGTGGCTATCACATGTCTGACCTGCTGGTGGCCAGGGAGGAACTGTTATAAATACACTCCTCGGGGCTCCCCTGTGGGCGCCAGGAAGTGAGTGGGCGCCAATATTAGATTTGGTCAGAGTGGAGGATGCTGTGCCTCACTTCCTCCCACACTCCCCTATCTCTGCTAAAGACAGATTCTGGGGCCTGGTTGCCCCTACTCAGCCCAAGGGCTCCACAAGCACATAGGGACTCTGCCTGCAGAGAGAATGGGCTCTCCTCCTGCTGGGTCACAGGGATGCAGGAGCCAGGGAGACAGGAAACAAGGTCCTGCATAACCTTGAACTTTATACCTTTGACTCCCCAAGCCCAGCACATCCCTGAGACCACCAGACCCCAGCCCAGCAGCTGGGTTCTGAGCTGTCCAACATCCACACTACTCACCAATAGCGCTTCTGGTGCCAGGGACCATGTGCCCCTGGCCTTCTGCTGGACCTGGGTCTTCTTGAACACAGCTCTCAGCTTCACAAGGTCAGGGAAGGGCAAGGATAAGGAGGTGTAGAAGGGGTTCCTCACTGTTCCCAAGTGCCCAAAGAGATCCACCTCGTTCACACCTCCTAGCCTCTCCCCCTGTAGGCCCACAAGACACCCCTCACCTACTGAACTCCTGCAGACCCCTTCTCATATCCTTCCTTTGGATCCTTTCCCCTACAGACCTTCTTTGGGCTCCCTCCTCCCAACCCATGAGCTGTGTGGGGCAGCTATTGTGTCCCTTAATTGCAGAAAGGCACAAGAAGTGAGGTCTCACTTGTCCCAAACATCTCACCTGGGGTACAGGTCCTAGCTAACCTTCAAAGAGAGGGGTAAAGAAAGGCTCTGGGACTTTGGATAGGGGTAGGGGCAACATCTGGCATTTTGCAGAGCTGGAGAGGCCCCTCCTTGCAAATGGGAGCAGAGAGTGAGGAGACACCTCCAGAGAAGGGGGCCTGGTACCCCTCTGGTGACACCTATCCCTTGTCTGCTGGGAGTGGGAGGTACTCACATGACCCTTCAATGAGGTCCTGACTATGGCTGTGACCAGCACCTAAAAAGGATCCCCTCAGGGTCCAGGTCTCCTTGGTCCAAAGAAAGACTACAGGTTGAGGCAGGGATGAGCATGGGGCTTGGTGTATGTCCTGGGGGTATTAAGGTCTGGCACCCCTCATAATAGCCCAGGGCACAGTAATCATTACTGCTACCCTCTGAGTCTCGGAGGTCCAGTCTGATGTGAGGAGCAGGGACCCAGTCCTCTTGGGGTAGGTAGGCTGGAGGCTGCCCCTCCCAAATCAGGTCCCCCTCTGGTAGCACATCTTCTGAGCCCAGAGCAGGCAGGCCTTCCTTCTTCTCCAAGCAGGAAGGTGGCCAGGGCCACACTGGGGTGCAGGTCAATGGCGCCACCACCTCGTGGTTGCTGGCTGAGCCTCCTGGTTCGGCCGCCTGACCCACTCGCTGAGTCCCCGTCCAGGTCTGGAACATAGCACAGCATGAGATGGTCAGACTGCATGCTATGCCAGGGGACTTATCATGGGAAGGACCAAGTGACCTCTTTTCCAGGGAACCCTCAACCCTCTCCAAGGCTGAGTTTACCCCCACACATCAGCCAAGTCTCTGCCCAGAAAACCGAGTCCCTTCAGCCACACATGAGGTGCTCCCAATGGTGGGAAGTAAAGTGCAGAGCATAGCAGTTGTAGATGGCGGAGGACCCTGCATCTTTCTGAAGACCCGCGGACCCACAGACATCCACAAAAAAAAGGACAGGAAGGACAGTCTTGGCCCCACAGAACTGAATGCCTGGTGTCCCCTGCAGAGACCAGGGCACATGAAGGGGCACTGCCTGCACCCCAGGGTTGGAGGAGCCACCTGTCAGCCACTATGAAGGTCCCTGACACTTGCCTGAAAGACACAGACACCTCAGGGGGAGGATGCAAAGGCCCGAAAGGAAGAGACTTTGAACTGACCACTTCCCTAAAGGAACCAGCGGAGGGAGGCACAGACTGGGATTTGAGACACCAGGGCAGAAAGAAATGGGAAATACTGAAAGCTGACCATTTCATGTTCAAGCCACTGTGTGAATTCTAACTCGCCAGATACACAAGAAAAGCTCAAGGCTCCACTAGAGGCCAGGAGCCCACATCCTGGGCCTCCAGACCTGGGGGCAGCTGCACACGTACCTGGAAGTTCCCATGGTGCACCGTGTACAGGGGCTGGAAGAAGGCAGCGGGAGAGGGCACATCCTGGTGGAAGGTTCTCTTCACCCTGCACCAGGGTGGTGGGGCGGGGCAGGGACAGTACTCAGTCCTGGTGGCCACCCAGCAAGTACCACCTGGGCTTCTTTCTGCCACCCTCTACCCTCTCACTACACTGACAGACATGCTTCACAGTGGGACTGTGAGTGTCCTTGGGCAGGACAGATGGTCACAGCCTCCATCACAGACAGTTCTCAGCTCCCTTTCCTGCCACATGCAACACTGCCCACCACTCCCTGCACCTCCAATTCCCTCCTCACCAACCAGAGTCTCCCTGTCTCTACTCCAAAACAAACAAACAAAAAAGACAAGAAAAACCTTGAAGAAGCCATTGAAGTGATTCTGACTCACAGTGATATGATCCCGTAGGACAGAGCAGAACTACCTTACAGGATTCCTAAGGATGTAAATCTTTACAGAGGAGTTCTGGTGGCCTAGTGGTAGGGAGTTGTGTTGCCAAACCAAAGGCACATGGTTCAATCCACCAGTTGCTCTATGGAAGAAAGATGGACAATCTTCTGTGCCATTTACAGTTTCTGAAACCGGCTAGAGGGTCAGCTACGAGTCAGTTCTGACTTGATAGTACACAACAACAATAACAACTCTTTATAGAAGCAGACTGACTCTTCCTCTCAAGGAGCACATGGTGGGGTTTGAGCCACCAAGCTTTCAGTTTGATGGCTTTAACCACTGCACCACTTCCCGCCTGGAACCCGCCATTCCCCCACTTCCCTTGCTCTCTGCCCAGCTCTCTAGCCTTCTCCCTCCCTCACAGGCCAAGTCCTGACTCACCACTCTGTCCCTCCTGACCTGGTCAGTCCTCCTTGAGCCAGAAAGGGGCCTGTGTCTTCCTTCCATTCTAGGGTCTGAGAATGGGGCCCTGCACATGCCAAGTCCCCAGAAGTGTTTTCCCAAAATAAGTGGATGTGAACAAGCCTCAGAAGATATGAGGAATCAAGCCACAGCTCGGCCGGGGACTCCTAATGCCCCCCGCCACGTGACCCATGAGGGGTTGTGCATTGGTACCCATGGCTGCAGCCACCTCCTCCTGACTCCGCCCCAACACAGACCAAGGAAGGGACAGTGGAAAGGAGAAGTTTAGCCTTGGTAACTCCCATGCAGCACACCCCTTGAAAGACACCTGGGTGACAGCTTGAACAGGAAGTAGGTCAGGCTGGTCATCAGGAGGAAGATAGACACAGCAATGAGGGCACCATCTGGCCTCTCCCAGGGTGGGCTCCGGGAACCTGTAAGCAGCAGGACTAGGGCTGTGAGCAGTCACCTAGCTGGGATTCCCTGTCATCTGCACTCTGGGCCCAGGAGACAGGGGTGGGCAGCCTGGTGGGGGAAGCTCCTGCCTGCTCAATACCCTGCCTTCATGTCCCCACTTGTGGGTCACTTGTCAAGGCCAGTACCTTCTAAGCACAGTGGTTGGCCCAGCCCAGCCACCCAAGGTGATGATCATGTCCAGCTTCCAGAGGCGTGGGTGCAGCCCACCACCCGTCACACTCCCTGCGCCCAGGACTCCTTATGCTCTTGGTGGGGGTTGTTAGTATAGTGGTTAGCTGAGGGAGTTGGAGTGATTGCCTCAGTGAAGGGCCACTAGAGTGACGGGAGCAGGGTGCCCACCTTGTCTCTGGGGAGCCAGGAATCGCACGGACGGGCTCCACTCACTCCACGGGCCCTCATAACGTTCCTCCTCATCCATGTCGTCCTCTTGCACCATCTGCACACGCAGCCTGGCCTCATATGCAGAATCAGGGTCCAACTCCACGGCTTCCAGGACAAGCCGGGTCACTCCAACAATGTGGTCCTTGTGGTGGGCCTGCTGTGGAGTCGGGCAGTTAGCAGGTGCTGGAGGGCTGAGGTAACCATCGGAGGTCAGTCCTCCAGGATGTAAAAGCACAATGGCAACAACTGTGTGTGCTCATGTATATACCAGCACATACAAGTCTACGCATGTACACAGACATCCATATACACATGCATGCACAAACTCATAGACACACAGCAACATGCATAGATGTGTACACTGGCACACCTAGTGCATGCACTAACATACACATGCAATTATGTGCATGAACACGGGGCACATTCATGTACACATTCATGCTTGAACACAGGTAAGCAACTATACGCACGCGCATGAGCAAAGACACATATATAGCAGTATGCATGCGTGGAGACATTTGTGGTGTGCACCCACACAAGCACATATGCACAGTCACACATGTGTGCACGAGCACAACTGCACACACATTTACGTCCCATGTAAGTACACACAATCACATGTACACAGAGGCTCACTAACATGTACACACCTATACAGAAGCACATAGGGACAAAGGCCCATGAGCCCATGCACACATACACACAAACACATGTGCACCCAATCACATGTACAATCACCCGCACACATTTACACAGACATCACTCGTGTGCACACACCCGGGCACACCCATGCACACACATACATACACTATCACACAGATATACACATTTGTCATATGTGCACATGGAGACCTATTTGTGTGTACCTGCAAATACATGCATGTGCAAGGTGGTACGTTCATGTGCACATGCACATATATTCACTTGCACATATAGGCACACAGATGCATGCACAGACATACCCTTCTGTGTGTGGACAGACACGTGTGTATGCACACAGGCACAGGAACACAAACATGCACTTGCACATGCACATGCACACAATTCACATAGAGTCCTTCATAGTACACACACTCCAAGCCCTGGTCTCCTCATCGTCACGGACAGAGCCCACACAATACTCTTAGTTTTGCAGCTCTCACCACGAGTACGCTCTCTGCCAGATTACCTCCCAGGCCTGCTGCTCCCTCTTGAAGGCCAGCTGATAGGCAAAGAGCCAGGTCATGGGCTCCAGAGCAGCGCTCACACTCCAGGTCAGGATGCAGTAGTCAGAGCTGACGTTGCTCTGCAAGTCCAAGGGAGGATCCAGCTTGACTGAAACCGAGGGAGGTGCATGAGGCCACAGCCCCAGGGCCCCTCTGAGGCCTGGTCATAGGTCTCACTAATACTGGGCTGCCCACTGTGCTTCAGAGCCTCCACCACCCAGCATCCAGGGCACCCCACTCACCATGTCTTCGGGGCAGATACTGAGGGTCTACCAAGCTGACCTGCTCCTGCCCAGCAACACAGCGGTGCAACATAATGGTGAAACTGTCCGAGGGCACGAGGACCTCCTGAGGTGGTAGCTCCACAGAGCAGTTGCCAGCCCGAAAGATGCATTTGTGTTTGCTGCCTGCAGCATGCTCACTGGGAAGGAGGGACACCTGTCAGCACAGTAATCTTCAGGACCTCACACTCACCCCAGACCCCATGCAGGTAAGCCTGACTTTCCCTCACCTGATGAGAAGGAGCCAGGCATCGCCACCCACGCTCAAGCCTGGGGCTGACCAGTAACAGTCGATCCGGAGGATGTTGTTATTGAGGCAAGTGACAGTACCAAGCTCCAGCTCTGGGACAGTGACTGACAGGCTGTGGTCAGGTTGTAGGACTGGCAGCTGACATTCCTGTAAAGGGCTGTCCCCTGGAAACAACCCCAAGAGAATTCACTGAAGGCTGGTGCGGTGGCCAATCAGTTCTGGCCCCTTATAGTGGGTCTTCCAGCCCCAGGGAAGGCCCTGAGGGAAACAACCCAGTAAAGGAGGTGCTGGTTGCACCACACAGTGTCCTGACAGATGGCAGCCCTCCCACCTCAGCACCTGGTCCTCACCTCCTCTTCCTTCTCCTCCTCCTCGTCCTCCTCCCTCTGGGAGAGCAGCTGCCATGTAGACACAGGCACAGACCAGGAGCTGGATGCCCACTTTCCGCATCAGGACCTTGTCCGCCAAGGACCGACCTGCAAGAGATCCTGTTCATCAGGTGCCCAGGAAGGGTGCCATCTGTGAGATGCCTCTGAAGAGTGCTCCTCCCTGGTGGCCCCCATGAGATGCTCCTCTGAGATGCCCCCATTAAGGATGCTCCACACAAAGTCTCCCCTATGAAGATATTCCCATGATGCGCTGAGGATGCTCCTTCCTTAAGAGTGTTCCATGGCACGTGCTCCCAATAAGGATGCTCCCATGAAGTGCTCCTCCCTGTGAGGTTCCACTCACGCAGAGTGATCCCATGAAGTGCTCTTCACTCTGGATGCCCCCCATGAAATGCTCCTCACTAAGGGGGCTCCCAGGAAAGTGTCGTTCTAAGGTCCTCTCAACAAGGCTGTTGCCCTTGAGTTGCAGCATAGAGCATGTTCCTGTGTAAGATGGTTCCCTAGGTTCTATGAGCTCCCGGCAACATCCTCTGAGGGCCAGCACCACCCTCCTCATCACATTCCATGGGGCAGGACGTGGCACTAACATCTCTGTTCACCAAAAAGGGAATTGACCTGCTCACACACATGACTACAACACTCCCACCCCCAATTCCTGATCCAATTCCTCAACTAGTCATGTCTCTAAGTCTGCAAGGAGGCTCCAGTCTGAGCCCATATCTCGCCCTGCAGGGGAAGCCAGGGTTGGGAAGGTGCTCATGGCTGATGACCATGGGCCACATTGCCAGATGGCACAAGTCTTCTGCTCAAAATCTCACAGCAGTTGTGTGAAGTAGAGGAACACTGGAGAGGAGACCAGCCCATGAACACAAGCCAGGTAGGTTCAGCCAACCTCTCCACACCCTATCCTCTGTCTCTCTCAAATAAAGATCCATCCTAGGCTTCTGCACAGGCAGATGCGGGGCGACAGAGCAAGGGTTTTGTGCATTAAACTGCTCTTCTCTAAGTACTCTCTTAGCATTGCCCCTTAGTACACTGTGCAAGCAAGCCCCCTAGGCAAGCCCTGGTATCAGGAAGTACCTGGGTGCTGGGAGGCTGCTGACACCCTATCACCCCATTTGCAGCTCCAGATGGAACACTGATAACCCCAAAGCAGGAAGACAACCAGCCCCATTATACAAGTCTGATGCATGATAAGGAGGCCCAAATGAGCAGTGTGCATGCAGACCACGGCACGCAGGTCTCCGGCAACCAGCTTAGAACCTGCACAAAGTACACACACCCCGTGGAGCCCACGTCCTGGCAGAACCTCCCTTTACAGAGCCCACACCCTCATGGACCCCATGCTCTCACAGAACCCACATCCCTAGTGGAACCCGCACCCTCAGGGAGCCCATTCTCTCACGGAACCCACACCCTCATGAAACCCACACCCTCAGGAACCCCCGCCTTCATGGAGCCCACACCCTCATGGAACCCACACTTTCATAGAATCCACACCTTAATGGAACCTATACCTTCATGAAGCCCACAGCCTCCTGGAACCCACTCCTTTAAGAAGTCTATGTATGCCCTCATGCGACCTACACATTGATGGAATCCACACCTTAATGGAACCTGTACCTTCAAGAAGCCCACAGCTTCACAGACCCCATGCTCTCACAGAACCCACATCCTCCATGGAGGCCACGACTTCATGGAGTGCACACCTTCACGTAGCCCACACCTTAATGGAGCACACACCTTCGTAGTCTACACTCTCATGGAACCCACATCTTCATAGTCTACAGCTTCATGGAGCCCACACCTTCACCTTCATGGAACCTACATCTTCACGGAGTCTACATCTTCACCTTCATGGATCCCATGCCATCACGGAAACCACATTCCTCAATGAGCACAAACTCTCATAAAGTCCACACCCTAACAGAGCAGACACTTCGCCAGGGCCCACATACACCCTGTTAGTCAGTCTGTCCAGCCACCAACAGGACAGACTCCTATTAAGACCCATTAATGGAAGACCTCTATCTTCCCCAGAGCTACCTTCGAAGCTCACTAATCCCTGAATGCAGCAGTCAGCTGACATCCAGTCCAGCTGTCAGGTGCTTGAGGTAGACCCAGGTGATACAGAGCTGTCCTCAGGTAAAGGGACCCCACGCAGTTCTCTTGGGTGAAACCACAGGTAGACCCAAACCTCTCTCTCCCTCGTACATCTCACTCACTGGGAGAGGACATTTCTGAAGCAGGGCTACCCCATCCTTGGCCACAAATACCCCCACCCACAGGCTCCCCAGCCCAGGAAGTCACCGGATGAGGTGAGGGAGCCCTGACCTCAGCTGGGACAACCCCTGGTCACACAATGGCTGTACAGGGTTGGGGGGAAGCAGTGTCTTCCCCTCAGGCAGACCTGTCCCAGGGTACGTTCTTGGTCCTGCTCCCCTACAACCACCTGGGACCCTTCTCAGAGACTTCCTCACAGCCTCAGCCTCAGGGTCAGGGTCCAGACCAGGATGATCCCAGGAGGGCCTCAGATGGGCACTGTTGAGCTGGCCTCTTGGGACTGTACCCACTCACAGTTCCTCACATGGGTGTGCGTGAAGGAAGGGGCAGAGCCAGACACGAGTGGCCATCACCCTGGGACATGCAGGCACTGTGGAGACCAAACGCAGATGGGGATGTGCTGCTTTGTAGGAGGGTCCGCCAAGCACAACCTGTCAGACTGAGGAACCTACAGGGGCTGCTGCCCTAGGCAGAGCTCACTCCCAGGCTCCCTCCTCCCCACAGCACACAGCATCCACCCGAAAGCCCCCCAGGCCACAGGAACACCCATTTCCCTTTGTTTCAAGGGTCAGCTCAGGCATCAGTGAAGCAGTTTCTTCTGTAATTAGAAGTTCTGAGAAACTCCATGCCCCTGTGTCCTGCCTGCCCATGAGCCCAGCCAGCCTAACCCAGGACAACACCGTGACTCCCCTGGTCAGCCGGGCAGGGGTCTGAATCTCTGGAGATACCTGAGTGTGGGTACCTGACAACTCTGCAGAACCGGGGGCGAGATGACCACAGCCCACCACTCGTGGACGGGAGTCACACGAGTGGCTCCTCTGCCACCACTGCCTGACACACTCACCTCCGAGGTGCCTGCCCTGTGCCATCGTGTCCTCCAGAGCTGAGCATGCACAACACTGTGTCCTCACCAGGCAGTAAAGACCCTTGTCCGGCTCAGAGATGAGTGCCGCAGCTGTGACTTGAGCCCGCCCAGGGGCTGATACGCCGCCCACATGGAAACCACGAGCCACCGAGAGCTGCTGCTACATGACCCTGCCTGCCAGAGAGCCAGGTTAGATACTTTGAAGGCCGCATCAGCTGGGGGTGCCTCCACTCTGCAGGTACAGTCCTGAAGCAGCCCAGAAGGTGCAGGGCCCAGGGCAGACAGCCCTGTCCTTCTAGGACAGCCTCCTCTTCCCCAGGTAGGATTGAGCCAGGAGACGAGGAGGAATTAAATACAAAAACAATTCAACTCTTTCAGGAAAAGCAAGTAATAGGAGCCTCACCCCAGAAAACATCTTCACCTGGTCCGGACCTCGGGCCATGAATGAATAAGGTGTATGCCCCCTCCCTTGACACATACCCACACACCTTTCCACATCTTCCCAAGCCAGCACCTGCCACTGGCAGCTGTACATGACTGATAACAGCCTGCAGATGGACACTGGGATTGTTTGGACAGTCTGCTATTTTAAGTGAAATGGAAGGAAAATTGTTGGCATGATCCATCCCCAGACATATCCTGCCATAGGAAAAATACCTAGAGGTGGATCATGTGCTCAAGGGGTTAGTAGGTTTAACACTCCATTTGAAAATTGATCTGGGGGGTGGGGTGGGCAGGAGGAAAGGCGCAGCAACGAATGAATGGAAATCCAAAGTCTCTGTAAATTTTCATCATAATTAATAATAAAAAAAATTGATCTGTGCTGCTGAAGTGTCCTCCAGAGTGGACCGCTTCTCCTGCACCATCGATGTGACACTGTCTGCACTTGGCAGAGCACTTATCAACCTTTCTCATCTCTGCAATCTGATAGGAGCAGACATTGCAATGTCATTAAAATTTGCATGTCCTTGATGATTAGTGAAGATATAAGCCCCTCTCCAGATATTTACTGACCTGTGTCCTTTACGCTACCAAATAAGGTCATATTTCTGTATATGAGCATATGCCCATGTGTATGTTAGTGTGCAGAGGCATGTATGTGCACCTGTGGATACATAAACATAATATGTGTTGCCTGTACTTATCTACATGTGTGTGCACACATATGTGCATGCATGTGTATTTTTGTCCATGTGTTTATGCATTCCAAGCCCTGGGCAAGAGTTGAATACTTCAGATTATCAGTTTTCTGGAATCTGAGAATGCCAGCACCCATGGAGAGAGACGAAACCAAACTCTCAAGCCCAGGAAACATATAAGCAATGATGAGGGACAATTACATGTTTCTAATCTTCACATTTTAACCAGCTTGGCCTGCTCTTGACTATCACAGTAACATCATTTTCTACTTACCAGCACCACGACCAGCTTCCTTCTTCTGTCAAGGCTCCTCACATTTACTGAAGAAAACAGAGCTCACTACTAATCCAAGGCCAGCAGAGCACAACGTTTACACCATGATCTCAGAGGGGAAGGTCACAAGGGCTGGACAGTGAAGAAGGAAACTGAGGAGAGAAGTGCCAGAGTGGAAGGGCTCACACCCACAGCAGAACTCTACGCACACGTCTACTCGACCTTAAAATGTATGTGGACAGGCCAGCTGCAAGCAGCTGGAAGAGGTTTCACTGCTGTCCACTATTGGAAACATAGCGTTTAAACTTTGTTGTTGTTATGTTCCATCGAGCTGCCCACAACTCACAGTGACCCTGTGGACAATAGCTCTGAACTCTTCCCTATCCTAAGACAGTCTCACTGTCTCTGACACACCCAATCCCATTATCCCAGTTACAGCGTCAATCCATCTCAGCTGGGGTCTTCCTCTCCTGCACTGACCCTCCACCCTTCAAAGTATGATGTCCTCTCCAAGGATTGATTCTTCCTGATCATATGCCCAAAGTATGTGAGATGGAGCTTCAAAATCCTTGCCTCCAAGGAGAAGCCTTGTTTCACCCTCTACAAGACATCTGTTTGTTGTCTTGGCAGTCCACGGTATGTTTAGTACTTTTTTCCAGCATCACAATTCAAAGGCGTCAATTCTTCTATCATCCTTAGTCCAGCTTTCTGATGCATAGCAATTAATTACTAAGACCATGGCCTGGATCAGTCACACCTTAGTCTCTATACTGACATCATAGTTCTTCAGTACTCTGGAGAGGCCCCTGACAGGAGATTTACCCAGTGCAATTCATTTTTTTTATTTCCTGAGTGTTAAAAGTGGAGCTGAGGAAACTGAAATTAACAACTTCATTCTTTTCTCTATCTATCATGCTGCTACCAATTGGTCCAGTGGTGAGAATCTTTGTCTTCTTGATGTTGACCTTCAATCTATACTGAAGACTACAGTCCTTGACCTGCTGCAGCTTGCTTAAGAAAAAACCAAAAAAAAAAAACAAACACCAAACAACTCTGCAGAGGTACAATAACAGAATCACTACTCTCCATTCACAATCCCTGAACTCAAGAACATTGTTGTTGTTGTTGTTGTTGTTGTTGTTACGTGTGAGTCGCTTGCGACTCATAGCGACCCTATGTACAACAGCCCTAAACTCTGCTCTGTCCTGTGCCAATCATACTATCTCTGACACTCCCATCCCGATTATTCCAGTCACTGAATCAATCC